CACTACACTTATCAAAGTTACAAAAGTTATGTAGTTAAGAATAGTGTACGATCTTTTGTCTTTTGTTATTTGATTAGCATTAAAGTGCAGACAGCAGGATTATGCAACAGACATTATACAGCTCAGTGCCTTCACGCAGTTAATTAATAAACCATCGGTTTGTTATATCGGCCTTTTTCCTTATATAGCCGATATGCCGATGGTTGTAAATTGAGGAAAAATCGGCCGATAAATATCGGCGGCCGATTCATCGGTGCATTCCTAGATACAATATCTTTAATTGTTCTCTGATATCTACATAGAAAGTATGTGGCTTATGTAAGGGTAAAAATTCTCCAGAAACGGTTTTACATGTCCATTTACAACCCTAGGATTTGTCCCTAGAATTAAATGGTTTGTTATCAGTGGCGGCTCGTGGGTTTTAAAATAGAGGAGGCACACTAATTGTATTGGTCTGGGATCCCTGCCTATTATTATTATTATTATTATTTGCTTAACCACTTTAAAATGGCTTTTTGGTTGCTTTTAGTCAGAAAACGTAAAGACGACGACACACATACAGCAAGATAATATCATTCCTGGCCTATCACTTGAAGAAAACATCCATCCCTTCTTAAAAGTCTGTATTAAAAGAGAGCTGCCTGTTGTGACATTGGTACTTGGTACATTATCAGCGCAGCGGGAGACATTCAAACTCTCTCTCTATGATGATTGGTTGATATCAGAAGGGAGCCCTTGCAAGGTTTCTTTTCTCAACACTCCTCAGCGCTGAAAGTGAACACTCGATGGTGATTGGCAAACCTGCTCTGATTGTCTGTTTCACAGCGCGGCTCATTTCAGTAGCCCACACAGCAAACAGATCTCTACTGTCCAGCGTGAACAATGGAGAAATTAGGCATCCAACCATATATGGTTGAGCCTGTATCAGACGAAGATACAGATTTTGAGAGATTTTGTGAACGAGGCTTGAGAGAGAGATGCGAGTGAGATCCAGCTGTTATAAGCGTTTTTGGACTTGTCTTTTCCACTTTTTTGACACTTTAGAAAGTTAATATTAATAATAATATCTTAATAGCAAACAATTTGATATAATTTTGGTTTATTTTTATTTATTTATCGTTTTTTGTTTGTTTTAATAGCAATATCTGGCAACACTGCATCGATGATTCGGCTGTGCAGGTCTTATTATTCAACTATGCCAAGGTAAACAGAGTTTTCCATTCTATGGCACCTTTAAAGACGATTTTCTCAATATTTTGATTTTTTTGCACCCTCAGATTCCAGATTTTCAAATAATTGTATCTAAGCCAAATATTGGCCTATCCTAACAAACCATACATCAGTGGAAAGCTTATTTATTCAGATGATGTATAAATCTCAATTTTAACAAAAAAAAGACTCTTATGACTGGTTTTGTGGTCCTGGGTCACAAATGTGATACAGTAGGCTAGTGTCATCATTGAACTGGTCAATTTCATCTTCCTCTACCAACCCGTCCTCCTCCAGGGTGCAGTCATCGTCAAAAGACTGCAAAATAACACAGAAGCAATATAGATTCAATATATACATTTTCAACATGTCAAAGTAGGGGATCTAACTTAAGGAGGTGGAAAACTGTGGTCTTAAGGAAAGATGATGCTGTAGCCACATGCAAAGGTAAAATATGGTCCTTGTGCTCACCAAAAACTAACATGATCAGTGGTAGAGGACATCTTAATCTTAATTATTTAGGTCTTTTGACAACTAAAAAGATGCATTACTCCTTAGAAACAGTTTATACATGTTCCTAATACGGAGTAGGCAAACTGCTAAGTGCAGAATCATTTAATGTTACAGAAAACTGCAGATAAAACAATCTTACAGAAACCTTTTCGCCATGAAAACATCATTCTCAGAGTGACGAAATAAATAAAAAAGCTTGGGAAATTAAAGTGATCCCAGTGCGTTTACATTGCCCCGGTTAGTTGACGTAAGTTACTAGCACGGCCTCGCTAACATGCTAACAAGGCCAAAGGTTTCATAACACACATCTGGGCCACACTGAACTCAAAACAGCGGGTACTCGCTAAGGACAGTTGGCTGTTATAGATTTCATGAAGCTTTTACATCTTGTTCAATATCAACACCAGAGGAAACTGATGGTTAGGCCTCACAAACAATTTTGTAGTGTCGAAAAACAAAGCCGCAATTTTCCATCAAAATGTAAATCTTCTAAACAACACTTGTCAGATTAAATCTCTTTGAAAAGAGCCATTTCGACATGCACTTGGTAAAAAAAAAGAAAAAAAGACAACATTTACCTGAAAATGGAACATGTGTCTGTGTTAAAAGAATCTCGGTTGATTCTGCTGCGCGAGACGCCACGAGATTCCTCGCGCGCGAGCGAGCTTAAAGACATGCACACGACGTGAGTGCGGTAAAAACACTACAGGAGTCTATACTGTGCTGACCATCATTTATGTGTTATAAAAGATACAGTTTTCTGTTTGTGTATTTTGGAATGTTCCTGTTAAACATACAATAAAAAAAAAAATAGGATATAGAAAATTGATTTCAAATGATATAAATCCCCTTAGGAAAAGAGTCCTTTTCACATTGCACTGGGTTTTTTGACTAGCAAATATACCATTGTGGTGTGAGAATGAGGAAACTGGGAAAATAATTAAGAAAACAAAAAGCGTAATGGTATTATTACAGCATTCTTCAAAAGTACTTACAGGACCATGTGAATACTATGGTATATTAATAATGTAATTATTCAGCACCATGGTAACTGAGAGATCAGGGAAAGTTGTCACAAGCTTTATTTTAGTTGCTACAAAGATTTGCGTCAAAAGTTCTGGTTGTCTTTAGAATGGTTTTGAACACGAAAAACTTGGATACGTTTTGTGAATTCTGTTTGATCTAATAACATAGTTTTATTTATTTATTTTTTCTTTTTATTATTATTATTTTTTTTTTTGTAATAGCTGTGAAACAAGTGACCACACATGCATGCATTCAGAAAGGAATCAGCTACCTATTGTTTAACTCAATGCTATTAGGACATGTTGTCACATGTTTAAAAAAGAATGCACATTAAGAAACAAATGTGAAACAATATAAATGTATTCTATAGGAACACTACTAAAATAATTTGCAACCATTAAACAGCTTTAAACTGTATTCATTTTATTATTTGAATTTACATATGCAGTTTGATTTACTTAAATGGGTCCTATTATGCTTTTTCACTTTTTCAACTTTAGTTAGTCTGTAATGTTGCTGTTTGAGCATAAAAAAGATCTGCAAAGTTACAAAGCTCGAAGTCCACTTCAAAAGGAGATATTTTATTTAACAGAAATCACTTTTCAAAAACTACAACGAACGACTCGTTTGGACTACAACGCATATTTTCCGGGATTTGTGATATCACAAATATCAACGAATGGGACGAGACCTGGTTGAGCTGCACTAGAGAAGGCAACAAGTGGTATCACTATGTCGGAGACACGCTATAGCTTTCCCAAGGCAGACAAACTTAGAGTGGTTACAATCATCCGGGTTTAAATCGCGCTCAAATTTATTTGATTTTGAGCAATATTTACACTGAAGCTCGCAGGGGGCAATGGTAAGGGGCGTGACATTTCCCGAGCAGGTGCCGAGTGCTGCCAATCACAACACACATTGGCCCAGCTAACCAATCACAGCGCACACTGGCCCAGCTAACCGATCACAACACACACTAGCCCAGCTAACCGATCACAGCACACATTGGCCCAGCTAACCAATCACAGCACACATTGGCCCAGCTAACCAATCACAGCACACAACCAATCACAACACACACTGGCACAGCTAACCAATCACAGCACACACTGGCCCGGCTAACCAATCACAACACACACTGGCCCGGCTAACCAATCACAGCACACACTGGCCCGGCTAACCAATCACAACACACACTGGCCCGGCTAACCAATCACAGCACACACTGGCCCAGCTAACCAATCACAGCACATTTCGTATTTCAGAAGGCGGGCCTTCATTTGATACAGGAACTATTCGAGCCGTTCATGCCAGACTGGGGAGAGAGGTGTTGTAATAATGTAAAATATGTGAAAAATAATGTGTTTTTCGAACAAACTAGTATGAGAGACTGTTTAGTACACCCCCAAAACAAAATCAAGACTTTGTAAAAGAGCATAATAGGACCCCTTTAAAAAAAAAAATATAAAATTTTTTTTTTGTTTGTTTACTAAATTAGGTTCAGTACATAATTTTGGCAACAGTAAAATATATTTCTTCTTACCAAAAACATCCCCAAGATTTTTTTTTTAAACTTTGTAACCGTAAAAAGCTTTAAACTGTATTCATTTGAATAGTTATTAGAACTGTTTAGATATACAGTTTGATTTAACTTTTAACTTTTAATTAAAAAAAAATAATTAAAAAGTTTTTGTTGTTTACTAAATTAGGTTCAGTACATAATTTTGGCAACAGTAAAAGACGTTTCTTCTTACAAAAAAATTAACATTCCTAAATAACGACGGACATACCCAAACACTGTTTTTAAATAAATAGATTTACAAACCTTCTTTTTTTTTTTTTTATAAATGAATGGTCTCAAAAGATATGTGGCATGTATTGATTTTTCTTTTTCATTTTGCAACAAAATGAACAACAAAGACAACATCTACAGAAATAAAGACAAACAAAATATTCTAAACAATATAATTATACGATTATTATTACACTATAGGAAATGTATTAAATGAACTAAAACGTATTGCACTTTTGAGGTCTTACAAGCAAGTGGATTTTGAGAGTTTTTTTTAAAGAGCTCAAATATCTATCAACATCTTTGTGAAAATAAAAAAATAAGGTATTTTCTTTAAAACAAATTATGAATGTAAAATTGTGTAAGATATAATAATAAACGCGCATATTGATTTGCATTTCCCGTTTAGCGTACGAATGACGTCACGCGCGTCTGAACTCTCGCGATAGTCTGGGGCCGGGCCCGTTTTGCGGGAACAGCGTCAACAGAAAAGCCGGGGGCCGTGAATGACGCGTGGTGTGCTTGCTCTATTTGGGCAATATTTTGAAACTTCCCAATCAAACCTATATACTTTTTCGGCTTTTCGGACCTGTTTTAAACGGAATTACTCGTGTCCATAGCGAAACAACGGAATTAGCCAGCCCATCATGTCCCAAACAGAAAGCAGCATGGAGCAGCAGCAGCAGCAGGAAGAGCCGAGCCAACTCGACTCGGCCGGTCCGGCAGAGGTGAGCGCTTCTTTCCCATCATTTCCCACTCATAATTACACCCCAGTTTACCTGGGACTTTAAAACACAGACTGATGGAGCTGGAAACGAGGCGCAGACGAACCATCCGATCGCGGCTCTCTGAAGTGTAACGTTAGCTGAAAGTTTTTGTTAGCATGTATTGTTCCGGCTCAGATGAATAGATGAGCAGATTGGCGTCCATTTTCACACTCATAACAACATCTGATCACTTTTGGCCCTGGTAAATTAGCAGATTTGTGGATTGAGTTCGACAGATGGCCGGTTTGATGTGTTGTTATCGTCTAATTAAACTTAATATCAATGGTGTTGGTATTCTGCTACTTTTAAAGCAGTAACGTTACTTTAAATTAACCATGTTACGCTATATGGGTCAGATAGGTACATTTTTATGGCTTGAGCTGCAGTTATCCATTTGCACTCTTTTTATTGTACGTTAGACTTCATTCAAAATAAACGTTCCGTTCTGCTGGTTTTGTGACGTTCCTGTAGTGTGACTCTAAACGGGGAATTACCCGCCATCGGAACAATGCGATGCCACAAAAGTCACCGCACAATGACATTTATTAGACGCACTTCAATGCTTACTACGTTGTCGTTTAGGCGTATTTTAAACCAGTGTGCTGCTTTCAGTAACCGCGTTATTAAATTGAACTAACGTTAGTATAGCTGTGAAAGTGAAGTTCCGATTGAACGTCTAGAATCAGAACAACACTTGCGCAATAATCTTCAGGTTATGCCTTCATAACGTGTCGATATTTTGAGGTCATTAGTATATAATTAAAATAGAATGCACGCATTTAAAACGTATGTTTATCGTAATGAAAACGGATTAAAAGTACTGATGACGTAATTGTGCCTTCGTGGGCGTATCCAAAATATTGTCCAATCAAATGCTTCTTGAGTGAAATATCCCTAACCTTTAAAGTCGGCATGCAATGAAAATTCACTCATTTTTATGTGCATGTTGGAGATCTTATTGTGAATGGTTCATCCATGCATATTTCTTTCTTTTTTTTTTTTTTTTTTATAAATGTGACCTTAATTTTTAAATCAAATGCTGTAAATTGTATAAAAGTATATCACAATATGTACGAAAGACTGTCATTGGGAAATATCGAAATGGAAAAACAAACTGTCCATCAATTTTGTCTAAGTAATTTATATTTATATTTATAAGCATAAGTGACATTTATTGTTTCTCTTTAAGGATGATGCTTCAGAAAACGGGCAAGATGAAGCATCGGATACAGCAATGGATAGTGAAGCGCAGTCGTCATCACCTCCCTTGGCAAAGGAAAAGGACCAGCCGGGTGGATATGAAGAAAAAGTGGTAATGCATTTAGCCTTCCATAAAAATCAAAGTTAGTTGAGGTATAAAATGCATATTACGGTTATGCAAGAATGTTGCTCCGTAAGCAGACGTGACGTTGTGTGTTGACTTCTACTGCTTTGTTTCAACAGAAAACAGACCGGACCAACAGATTCGAGTACCTCCTGAAGCAAACTGAATTGTTTGCTCATTTCATCCAACCAGCTGCCCAGAAGACCCCAACTTCACCTCTAAAGATGAAGCCTGGCCGCCCTCGCATAAAAAAAGACGAGAAGCAGAACCTGCTCTCTGCTGGAGAGTGAGTTTGCCCACACTGTTCCAGCAGAATTGGTTTCACAAGTATTTTTCCCATCTGTTTTCTCCGTAAAGATCATGCTGCCAGTGATATAGATGTTTAACAACTTCATATGTTATTAAAAGTCAATTTTCCATGGAGCAAAATAATGGGAATTTTACTTGAGGGAACACTTTTTTTTTTCCCTAGAGTGACTTTCAATTTTAATGCAAAGTTTTCCTTATTGTTTTGTCTTTTGTTAGTAATAATTTAGTATTATTTTTATGTGATTTCTGTTAGTAATATTTGTTGTATAATATTTTTATTTAGTAATTATATTAGTTTTAAAGTCCTATTAATATATGAAGAGTTCATTTGCAAAAACCAATAACTCCATTTTTATTTTTACGTTTTTTTTTTTAAAATTTTTTTATTGTGCATTCCAAGTAATATCAATCAAACTGCAGTTGGGTTGTTTTGATTAAGTATTAATAACTTAAACAAATACAAGTACAATTAGGCCTGTTACGATAACATCTTTTTGTTGTGCGATATATTGCCCCAGAAATAATTGCGATAAGCGATATTATTGTCA